TCTTTCTAAAACCGAACTTCAAAGCAATGCATGGTTCATGAAATATGCTAGATCATGCAATGCGATTAGATCAACATAAAGAATAACAAGAGTAGATCACAAATCTAACCTTAAAACACGGATCTAACAGTTCGATCGTTAGGGATCAAGCTTGGAAATCTACTCCTCTCTCAAGAACTCCTCTTCCTCTTCCTAGAGCTTCTCTCTCTACCTAGAACAAAGATATAGAAATGATAGGTTTTCTCTCTCTATCGGCTGATTTAACTCTCTGCTGGGACACGTGGCACTACCGGATTGGTTATCCTCAAAAGGTGATAGAAAGACAAGACATGTGTAAGACAAAGTGTATACAACAAGCTAGATGACATGGGCACTCCGGCAGGTAATGATCTCGGCTAAGGACATAGGCTTCAGCAAGTAAGGTCTCAATGATCTTGGCTAGGAAGGAAAACACTTGGCCAAGCTGTGCCACACCTCGGCCTAGATGTGCCACACCTCGGTCTAGGTCATTCCAGTCTCGGAACAAGATCGCTAGGTGCAAGGATCAACGATCTAGGACGCCTAGATGATAACATCTCGGCCTAGATGATGCACATCTCGGCCTAGGTGATGCACACCTCGGCCTAGATGATGACATCTCGGCCAATATGCCTAGGTGATGGTGGAGGTCAACTAAAGTGGTTCCAAGATGGTCCTAGGGGTAAGAGGTTCAAAGGTGTGACCTAGGCTTAACATGACCTAGTCTTGGTATGACCTAGGCTTAACATGACCTAAGCTTGGCATGACCTAGGCTTGACATGACCTAGGCTTGGCATGACCTAGGCTTGACATAGCAGGGAAGGAACAAAGCATGCAAGCAACATTTAAGCAAAACAAGAAAAGATTCGCGAATGCAAACTTAACAAGACAAAATTATGTAAATGCACATGAACATGACTAAGACATGAATATGGGTTGTTACAGGTTTTTCCCTTCAATCTGTTGGAGTATGGCGAGCAGCAACGTGGCAACGACGCGTCGGGAGTGGGTGTGAAGAGCTCCTCCTCGCAACCCTTTTCTTTCTCTCTCTCTCTCTCTCTCTCTCTTTCTCTCTGTGTGTGTAATGCTTCATATTAGATTTGTTCTGTGTGTGTAATGCTTCATATCAGATCTGCAAATGTTTTGAATTAAAGCTTTGTTTTTATTTTTTTTAATTTTTTTTTTTTTGAAATTACTAATCAAAACGACGTCGTTTTGATTAATTTTATTTTAAATTGTTGGATCTTTCACTTTAAGAGATCACTTAGGATTCCACTCTAGAGGATCTTGATAAATTATTAAAGAGGTTGATTCATTGGCTCGAATCTCAAATCATGCCACTCGGCCACAAGGTCTCGGCTGTAGTAGTAGTGTTTGGTGGTACGTAAAGTCTCGACCTATAGTACTAGTGTTTGGTAGCAAGGAAAGTTTCAGTTTTTTATTTGAAATATATATACTCTATGAAAATGATTTAGAAATAAAATATACATAAAGGGATTGTTTGTGAACATATTTTTTTAGTTAAAATATAAGTTAAAAAAGATTAATTTGTTCAAGATAATCTTTTACTAAAAAATGCATAAAAAATTGAGTAGAGATTGTTTTGAAAAGTGATTATTTTAGTTAACTTTTTAATTATTATTATATGTAAAAAAAATGAGAAAGAGTTGAATAACGACACCTTGTATAAAATGATGTGACAATAATAGAAATTTTTACAATATACACTTCAAATTAGGTGTATTTTTAGTTATGTCATTTTTTTTGTTATGATATTATTTTGAGATATTTGATTATGTAGTATTTGGTTATAACTTTTTTTTTTTAGTTATGGCTAAAAAAGTATAAAATTATACTATTTTCTTCTTTAATTATAAAATGCATATGGTATACATCTTTTAAAAATTAATATATTATAATCATGAGTTATAATGAAAATTAATTATTTTAGTAACTTTTTAATTTTTTTGTAACACTCCGTATTTTGAGGTATTAATATTTAGTGAGTGGTATTGATGATTTACTATTTTAATTTAGTGGTGAGATTTTAAATAAAAATTTTATTTTAAATTATGTATTTATATTTATCTCATCCCCTTTATATTTATCATATTATTATTTGTACTCATTTAATAATAAATCTTACCATTCCCAATCACATGAAAAGAAAAAAAAGAAAAGAAAAAAGAAGTTAGCAAACCGTGGGCAGTATTCCCAAACCCCCCATTCCATCATTTCACCTTTTCATTTATTTAATTTTTTTTTTTTATTTTCTTTCATTCCCTCCTTTCTCCTATAAATCAACAAAGTGAGAGCAAACCGTGGGCAGTATTCCCAAACCCCCCATTCCATCATTTCACCTTTTCATTTATTTAATTTTTTATTTTATTTTCTTTCATTCCCTCCTTTCTCCTATAAATCAACAAAGTGAGAGGAGCTCCTCTCAATCCTTTCTTCATTCGACTCTCCCTTTCTCATAAATTGTGTAGAATAAAAATATTAAATTTAGATATAGGAGTGTTTCGAGTGAAATGAGTATTTTATAAAATAAATAAATAAATTGAGAGTTGTAGATTTTATTAAATTATACATACTTTATGTTTTAGAAGTTTGATCAAAACTATTTTTGGAGATCCATGGAGCAATTTCAGATTTATGATGATGGAATTAATTATTTTGAGGTAAATTTGGATTGTATACAATATGCTCTATTTAAATCTCTTTGCAAAGAGTTCTCTATTTTTAATTATTCATAATTTGTAATCCACTTTATTAATGTGGTTATTAATAGATTTTATAAAATCATTTGTTCTCGAATCGTTGATATTCTGATCATTTGATAAAATTCTCTACAAATATTTCAGTATTAAAATGGTGATTTGTCTGACTGAATGACATGGAAATACTCCGTACATGGATCAAGTGAATCTTATTAATTGTTTACACCAATATGCCCGGATAAGCGCGGAGCTTGGGTGAGGTGGGTGAATAAATGAATTTATTCACTGGTCATGTACTGAGTAGGACCGGGTATTTGGTCCTAGATAAATTATAGTTGATTTCTTGTGCAATTTGGTAAATTGCTTGATTATCGTATCGTTAATTTAATGTCATAAATTGTTGGATTCCTGTTAATTTATTCTGTATCCGAGCCTTGTTCCTGTCGTATTGTATACTTTCCGAATCAATTTATTTTTCAGGTGCGGAGTAGATTTTAGCAGAGCTCGAAATTGAGATTAGAAAGATTTATTAATACAGAGATTTGGGATCCCCCACTTTAATTATTAAATATGGAGATAGTTGTAATATTGTTTATTTTGGAGGTAATTGTGCTATAGAATATTTGGAGGACATTGTACCATTTGGAGACAATTTTGTAATTATTATTTTTGGGAGCAAAACTTGTAATTTTTGTTAAGGCTATTTTAGTGTATTTAACGACTCGGGAGTGGAGCGTTACATTTTTACAAAGGGTAAATTACACTGACACCCCTTGAAGTTTCAATTTAATACAGATCTCTCTTCACGTTTGAAAAATTACACTTATTTTCCCGTCAGATTAAAATGACATATTTGTCCCTTAGCCTTTCTATATATAAATAATAAAATAATGTTGATATTTTGTTCATAGCGTTTCAAAAGAAATAATAATCATCTTTTTTGGTTTAACTCACACGAACAATTAAATTTTTTTATTTTTCGTGTTTTTTTTATTGAATTTTTACAAATATTTTAAGCAATTTTTAAAATTTTGTAAATACACCTAATATAGATATACTTTAGAAATATAATATTTTGTGATTTTTTTTTTAAATTCACCAAATAAAAAAATACAAAAAATCGGTAATACTGTAATAAATGTAAATGACAATATTTGGTAATATTGTAATAAATGTGAATGAATAAATGAGAAAGAAAAATGATGGTGAAAATAAAAATGAAAATTTCTATTCATATATAAAAATTTATACAAAAAAAAAATCATAAAATATTGTGATAGTGATATTGTCGTAAATATAAATCATGTTTATTGCTGCATTGTTTTAAAGTGAAAGGTCACCATTAAATTACATCATTATATTTGAAAATTTTATATAATATTTATGTTTGTATATCATCACTCAATAAGAATATGTTCAAATAGAATTTAATGATAAAAAATTATAAAATGTAATCATGATGATAGGAAAAAAAAATGATAAGAAAAAGAACAAAATAACCATTTAGAAAATTTTAAGGCATGACATCTACCATCTAAGGGGCAATTTGTAATTAGATTACAAATCTCAGGGGAATATAATTTTTCAAAAGTGAAAAAAATATCTATATTAAACAAAAACCTTAGAGGTGTCAATGTAATTTACCCTTTTACAAAAATATCATGTAAAAAAAATTAAAGAGAATGAATTGATTTTTCAACCTTTTATAGCTAAAATCTTAAACAAACCCATTAGCAAGGTTTCCAATGATACAACAACAAATTAAAACTATTTAAAGCAAATTAAAAAAAATGAAAAATTATAATTCATTGTATTAATTAAAGTCAAAAATTTTGTCATCAATCTGTGAATATTTAGTAAAAGTGTAATTTCTCCTAAAAATGTATTTTTAATTGTGTCAAAATTTTAAAAATTAGTAAACTTTTTAGGATTATTAAAAAAGTGTTGACATCCCATTGTGAATGTCACAGGCACGGGCACGGGCACGGAGCCCTTGGCCTCACCCGCACCAAAAAACAAAAAAAAGAAATTATTTTGCCACAAAAAAAAAAAGTCAGCAAAAATTAAAATTAAAATTAATACTTAATACTTAAAATCATTAAATATAGTATATATCTTCAAGACAATGTCCTAATTAAAATTAATACTTAATACTTAAAATCATTAAATATAGTATATATCTTCAAGACAATGTCCTATGCATTTTTCATATCCTCAAGCTTTCAATGCTAATTTCCAAAAATGAAAAATCCCTTCACAAAATAAAGCAAAAGCTAAAAATCATTAGCTACTCACTAATACTACAAGAAAAATTGAGAACTTATTATTTCTCGCCGAGTCTACGTATTTTAACATTTACAAGTTATTTCTAGCCAAATCTAGGTATTTTAACATTTACAAGATATTTACACTTAATGCCATACGAAAAATGTTGAATCTTGTTGTGTTAACATTTACAAGAAATTTACGCTTGCTTGGTCAAAATGACCCAATTACAAAGAGAGTAGGCACTTCTTCCAGAGGTTTAACTCCTCATGGTGAGACTGATATTTCAACCTGAAACAACATCAATCAGAGTTCTGGAATCATTGCCGGGATGGAGGCAATGTTGGACCGGCAAACCTTCAAGACTGAAACCTAGTAACAAGGAAATTTATATAGCGCACCTGACAAGAGGGTATAAATAGTGTTATAAACCAGAATAAAAATGGAAAAATTTTAAGTGTCCATCAAATGATATTAACTGAGCATATCAATAAACATATTTTAACATACTACGTCAGTGTGATCTTGGCTATAATGAGGTTTCCAACTGCCTCACAGAGAGTAGCCCGGCTACAAGTCTTAGAAAGGCTTTCTAAAAGCTTTTGTGAGCACTACACTGATATCGTCAATATATCAACATTATCAATGGCTCATTTAACATGACATTCAGAAATGATCACCAATTTTTTTTTATTAAGTAAATTACAGTGACCTCCCCTAACAAATGGGTTCATTATAGTCCCCGCTCTCTTGGTTTGACAATATTACACCAGCCTCCCTCAATTTCTAAAATTGTATAACAAATTGGTCCATGATGTTCATACACTACCAGTTTTTCATGATGTCATGCTATACGTTTCGGAAATGTCCAATTTTGGAATCCAAAAAATTTATCTGGTTAAGGTTTAACACTGTATACTAAAAGAAACAAAAGTAATCTGCTTCAAGCACGATTAATTACCTTATACACCAAGTCTGAATGTATGAAAGCTATGGATGCCTCCCAGTCCGTGGCCAGCAATGATATGAAAAAAGGCCAGATGATGTTTTTGCATCAGTTGTCCCACTGGACTTGACTTCATCATTCATACCTGGAGGTGATAAAGCTGCTGCCAATGAAAGAAAAGAATGAGCAAAACATACAAAATCCAATCCTAGTAAAATAGACAAAAACAAAAGTTATATATGATTATCAGAAACCTATCGTAGAATCTGATTGTGCCATTGGACTTGTGATGTAGAACATATGAAGCTCAAGGAATCACTGATTGTCCCATCTGATTGTCCTACTGTTCACGAATCAGTGTTCACAGCCTCATAACAGCCCCTAAAACAGTGCCACAATCCCATATTTTCATACTCAAACTCTTACCCCTTTATTACCCTAAACAAACCCTTTAAACCCCTACACAATTATTGCAACTTCAGCCATTACTCAATTAAATCAGCCCCAAAAGCACACTGTTGCTGCTGTCGCTACTTGTCCTACAACAACTTGACTTCATCATTCATACCTGGAGGTGGTGATAAGGCTGCAAATGGAAGAAACGAATGAGCAAAACATACAAAATCCAATCCTAGTAAAGATAGACAAAACAAAAGTTATTTATGATTATCAAAAACCTACAGTAGCATCTGATTGTCCCATTGGACTTGACTTCATCATTCATACCTGGAGGTGATAAAGCTGCCAATGGAAGAAAAGAATGAGCAAAACATACGAAATCCAGTCCTAGTAAAATAGACAAAACAAAAGTAATATATGATTATCAGAAACCAACTGGAGGATCTAATTGTCCCATTGGACTTGACTTCATCTTTCATACCTGGAGGTGTTACAGCTGCTGCCAATGAAAGAAAAGAATGAGCAAAACATACAAAATCCAATCCTAGTAAAAATAAACAAAACAAAAGTCATATATGATTATCAGAAACCTACCGTAGCATCTGATTGTCCCATTGGACTTGACTTCATCATTCATACCTGGAGGTGGTGATAAAGCTGCCAATGGAAGAAAAGAATGAGCAAAACATACAAAATCCAATCCTAGTAATATGGACAAAACAAAAGGTATATATGATTATCAGAAACGCACCATAGCATAAAAAAATTAAAATAACAAAAAAAAAAAGAAAAGAAAAGAAAAGAAAAAGAAAACTAAATGTGGTTTTCAAAATTCCAACCTTCCTTTAATTCAACATATTTGGACATCATTGAGAAGACCATCACCACCCTAAGCTGGAAGGCATGAGATCTACATTATCCATCTTTTACACCTTGAAGAAGCAGCAGTGGTCCCCTCAAAAACCTTGGGAACTATTGCATTTAAAAGTTTTGGGGCATCCAATATTTACCCTAAATGGGTTTTGGACACACCGGTTTGGCTATGCCCAACATCGTCTAGCTCCATTATGTAATAGTCATCGTTTAGTCTTATTTCAGTTCCTGTGTCTATCGTTATCGCCATCATTGAAAAGACCATCACCTCTCCAAGCTGTAAGGCATGAGATCTACATTATCCATCTTTTAAACCTTGAGGAAGCAGCAGTGGTTCCTCAAAAACCTTGGGAAATTACATTTAGAAGTTTTGGGGCATCCAATATTTACCCTAAATGGGTTTCTGACAGAACAGTTTGGCCAAGCCCGATCTTGTCTGCCTCCATTATGTAACAGTCATCTTTCAGTCTATTTCAGTTCCTGTGTCTATCGTTATTGCCCTATTCTCTCTCCATCCAACCTGGAATCAAATCTATGCCTTTATGCCGGATGGTTGGCCATGCCTTGTGGCATTGAACGTTTACGGTTTTTCTTTCCCACTTTTTGGATTCTTCCTCCACTCACCTCCACTGGCGAATGTAGGAAAAGAAATAGATCTCAATCTTCCTTCCCGAGAAAAAGACCTTCCAACAAAATAAAGATCAGAATCCAAGAGCTCCCTAGGAAATTTGGAACCTTCAGCAAAAAATCTAGGTGAATCCTATCAATTCTAGTTAGGTTTTCAATAATTATAAAAACGCACAAGCAAAATAAACTAAAAAAGAAAGTTACTTAATCAGTAACGAAAAAATCCCAAACGTTTATACTGTTCATATATTTAATAACAAAAATTCAAACTCATACAATCAATTAACTAAAAAACAAACAGCAAAAAATGTGCTTATCAATTCTAGTTAGTTTTTCAATAATTATAAAAGCACACAAGCAAAATAAACGAAAAAAGAAACTTAATCAGGAAAGAAAAAATCCCTAAAGTTTATACCGTTCATATATTTAATAACAAAAATTCAAACTCATACAATCAATTAACTAAAAAACTAATAGCAAAAAATGTGCCAATGGATACATTTTATACATACATAGGGATAAAATGATGGAACACAGTTGAAAGGATAAGGGCATAGGGAAATACTAAGGATAGAATAATGTATGATCATATTTGGGTATTGGGTACCATATGATATGACATTAACCACATCATTGGCCCAACAAAATATTAGCGTAGTGCTTTCTAGATTAAATATAAGACCTATCAGATGATGTAGTTAGTGAAATGTGAGATGATTGCACATCGCTGGTACCAAAATGTGATATCTAAATGTGATCACCCTCACATTGAATATTGACCAAAAACAGAAACATAAAAAACAAAACATTAAATTTGAAGCTACCAAAGCTTTTGTTCAACACATGGATCCAAAAAAACGAAAAACAAATATAATATATGTATGCATAATGCAATGACTCTGTATGTTTTCGTATTCCTATTAGATCCATAAGATGGTCAACAAAACTAGCCATTGTGGAGAAATATATACGCTTGTATGGGGTACCCAAATATGGGGCCTTGTTTAAGGGTAAATTGGTGGAAGTCCAACCGTGTGGTCTTGTTTTGAGATAAATCCCTTATGAAGTATATCCATCATTAAGTCCCACATTAATTGAAAGTTTTGACCGGGAGTCATATATTTAAATATAAAGTTATATTAGGACTGTTTTACCCATTTCTTAAATGCTATGTATGTCATGCCACAACAGTTTCCTACCAAACAATCCTTCCTCTTTCCAAGAAATTTTTTGTAGGCGGTTTTTGTATTTTTAGTGTAAAAAATTGTGAAAGTTCACAACTTTTTGTCGAATGATTTTTGTAGTTTCAAAATAAAGAAGTGTGAATGTCAACAATTTTTATTGGACATTTTTGTAGTTTTAGTGTAAAAAAGTGTGAATATTCACACTTTTTATAAAATAATTTAAAGATATAGTGTTTTAGTAAATTTATTGATCGAAAGTGTGAAGTTTCATACTTGCAGCTTTCGTGTCACAATTTTGACTCTACATATTCATACTTCCAACTTTCATACTAACAAAATTCACACTATTTTATTCTTTGGAAGTGTGAATATTCACAATTACCAGATATTCACACTTACAGCATTTCACATTATTATGTATATATATATAAGAACGAGAGTCCAAATGGGATAAGTACTGTAATTACCACAATTTTATCCTAAAATATAGATTTGAATCCCAAATGGGGTAAATACTCTCAACTGTCATGATTTTCTCCTAAAATATAGATTTCATTGCTATTTTTAGTGCTACATTTAATAATCGGAGTTTTTGGTCTTTTGAATAGTGCCAAGACTTTTAGGGTTTGTAGAATATCCTTCGGATTTAATATAGTACAAGTTCTATATATATGACTTCTTAGTAAAAATTCCCTTTTTTTTAGTGTGGGAGCTTTCCTCAATATGGGGGGCTTTCTTAGTTATTGAGGGCCTTAGGTGGCTGCCTAGTTTGCCTAATGCTATGGCTGCTCCCCTTCTAGAATCTCCAAAATCAAACGGTAGCATGCCAGTGTAGGCATTCTATTTCCTAGAAAAAAGAACATCACTTGTAAAAACAAACACAGAAAGCCTAGAAAACACAACCATTCATTTGGTTTTCATGACCACATCACAAAAACAGCATTTAGCCCAAAAAAAGGAATATACCCATTCATGGTGGGGTTCACAAGAATGCATGTACATGCAACTAAGGCAGAACTCTTACATCACAAGGCATGGTAAATTTAAAATATAAAGCACAGAAAAACCATGGGATGCAGCAATGAGGTTTAAATTTTGGTTCACATATCAATTAAGGGTCTTTATTGAGATAAATATTCTCTGGAAAATTCATCACTACACAACAGAATCTACATAACAAGAGCCAAATGGTAAAAACATTATAATGGAAAAAACTTCATAGGGTCAATGCCAAATAAAAGGGAAAAGTTCACAAAATCCAATTAGTATTTAATATCTAGATTTAGAATGAAAGACATGATTAGCTGAATGTAGACATCTATCTACCTTCATCCGATTCAAACTGGTTTACCAAATCCAGTTGATTTGAGGTTGCACCATTATTACCACCACTACTATTGCTACCAAGCCCAAAAGAAGTCAAATTCTCTCCACGGAAACCATTTGATGTCTGAGGTTTGTTGCCCAGATCACACTGCACGGACATACAAGGTGGCTGAGTTGGAAGTATAAATAGTTGAGGGGGATCTGCATAAATGAACGCCATGGGATTACTAACCAGGATATCATTTATTTCGGTGTCAGAATGGCATACAGAAGAATCAACAAGTTCTCTGCTAGGATCTATAGTGCAATTTGAAGTCAATGCATAACCATCTATTGGTGGAGCAGAGGTAACTGGAGTGTAGTCTGAATCAATTAAAGCATCTGAGACATTATCTATATGAAATAGTTGGAACTGGGAACCTGCTCGAGTACCAGAAGCAAATGCTTGGTCATAGATCTCAATATCATTGCCATGATCAAGAGCTGGATCTTCTGGGTACACATTGGAAGTTCCAGAAGGAACAGAGAAAGAATGTCCACCATTTTTCATTGCTTGAGTTATAGAGGCAGTTTCAGGATAAGTAAAATTGGCATTCTCTTCTTCTGAATCGCTGAGAACTATGACATCAAGACCCCCTAATGATGGACAAGTATATCTGTTCATGGTCCCAGTTGTAGCATCAAAGTTGTTTGGAACAGTATTGATTTCATGGCCATTGTTGGCAGATAAATTGAAATTGCCAATGCCATCCAGTTCAATCATTGAAACACATGTGGAACCATCTTCAGGTGTGGAAACATAAATAATTTCATCTGGGAGGTGCCACTGTTCAAGCTTCTTAAACTGATATACATTCTTTGCACGCCAAGAACCATCAGGCTTCACATCAATCTCAATTGTATCGTCTCCACAGTACTTTACCTGTTCCATCAGATATTGCAGAATTACAAAGACATTAACGGTTTCATAAATTCAGTATTAACACTACATAAAGCAAAACTCATTCAGGTCTATCACTGGCAATACCATCTTCGTGATGTGATTAAAATAAGGGTCAATGGTAATGTCTTCTAAGGAGTAGTTCTTCATGCAAATTGGACATTGCCACTGCAAACAGAAGGAATTCACAACTCGTACAAATTAGTAATTGAGTTGATGGAAAAAAATATAAAAGATGTTGATCACTTGCCTTCCTAGAGAGTTGGTTTAGCTGAAGAAAAGTTTCAAGATCAAAACAACCCATGTGTGCACATGGTCTGAATCTGGCGGCAATCTCAATTCTAGAGCCACTCAACTGCCATTAACATGTAGATATAAACAAAACGGTAGATACATTAATTAACGGTATTTGACACATAAGCCAATTTCAATTGATTTTCCATTATCGTCGTCAACAACAACAAAAGGAAACAAATCATCAATCTCGTGACACAAATATACCAACAAGGTAATGACAAAACACGGCAAACATGCACCGAGTGATCTTGCCACAGATAAGATAGTAATCAAGGATGGCACATTGGCAAGACAGACAACCAGGAAAGTTCAGACACTTGACAAAAAAAATGAAGCGTATAACTGAGGTTTCTTTGAAAGTATGATACTACCTGCATTTACAAACTTGATTGGATTTGGGATGTGGATTTCAAATATAAGGAATTAAATCTACACATTAGAAATTCTTTAAATTTATAATCCTTTGTTTCAATGCTAAACATTATTAGATGAATCTGGGAACAGATTTGATTATAGTATATTCATGAATAGTTTAAAGTTTCAGAGATTATTATGCAGTCCCGTCATATACCCCTCATATTAAATCATGCAAATTCTAGAAGAAAATAAAATGAATACACTATAAACTGAAGAAACAAATATAGATTCACTATGCATATAGATTCACAGGGGACACATCAACATGCAAGTGAAAGGAGAGAACACCAAAATTACAAAAGAGATAACCACTTACAGGACAACGCAGATTGACTGTAACACAGTCCACAATAACTTCCAAATCACTATCACTATCTTCATTTTCCATAGCCACTCCGCCACCAATGCAACGACAAACACGAGCTAGAGCATCTTCAAAGGGCTCACAATTTTGCTTTTCAAGAATCAAGTTGAGGATCTAGAAATTAAATGCAACAAACAAATAAATGCTCTAGTGAGATGAATATGAAAGGAAAACATAACTAAAGAGCCAAGAGAAAATGACTTCTCTTATATCCGAAATGAAAATTACAAAAAATCAAAGAAGTTAGGAAGATCAAAAGTAGACCCCATATATCGATGAATAATTGTGAAGTTCACATGTAACAATCATAACATAAAAACCAAATTCATATAGATAACATATAAACTATGAAGCACGTGTACGGGTATGAGTACTGGTACTAATACGATACGGGTACGTCGATACGGTAAAATTCAAAAAAAATAGGATACGGGTACGGCTTGGTACGCTTGTAAAAAAATATTTATTTTTAATTTAGAGGAATGCAAAAATTAATTAAATGATTTAATTTGTTAAGGTTCAACCTATATTTAATATTTAATGCCAAAAGTAAAAGTATAAATCAAAATTAAATATCAATATATTAAATAACTTACAAACTATAGTTTAATTTCAAAATCATGCTAAGTGTTAAAATTGATGTATAAAGAGAAATAGAGAATTGTATTATTGATGGATATATTTTGATTGATTACAATGATTCATGATTCCTATATATAGAAGAGGGTGAGTGTGTAGTAGGTAAGGAGTAGGTGAAGTGGAAGTGGTAGTGGTGTAGTGGGTTAGGCTTAGTGGAGTAGGTGAGGTGGTAGTGGTGTAGTGGGTTAGGTTTAGTGGAGTAGGTTTAAGTGGGTGAAGTAGGTGATAGGTTTTAACAGCCCCCCGCAAACTCAAGGGGGATAGGAACTAGCCAACTTGAGTTTAGAGAGAGTAACAAAACAAGAAAATAGATTAATACATAAAATAAAAGAGGATAGGAGACACTGTATGGTCGTGTCAGACCGTTGGTGAAGACACTGTATGGCGGTGTCATAACGGTGTAGAGGACACTGTATGGGGGTGTCATAACGTTGTAGAGGACACTATATGGTGGTGTCAGACCGTTGGTGAAGACACTGTATGGTGGTGTCATAACGTTGTAGAGGACACTGGATGGCGGTGTCAGACTGATGTAGAAGACAGTTTATGGGGTCATGTCGGACCGTTGTAGAAGACAGTTTACGGGGTCATGTTGGACCGTTGTAGCAGGACAGTTTACGAGGTCATGCCGGACCGGTGTAGAAAACAGTTTACGGGGTCATGTCGGACCGTTGTAGAAGACAGTTTACGGGGTCATGTTGGACCGTTGTAGCAGGACAGTTTACGAGGTCATGCCGGACCGGTGTAGAAAACAGTTTACGGGGTCATGTCGGACCGTTGTAGAAGACAGTTTACGGGGTCATGTTGGACCGTTGTAGCAGGACAGTTTACGAGGTCATGCCGGACCGGTGTAGAAAACAGTTTACGGGGTCATGTCGGACCGTTGTAGAAGACAGTTTACGGGGTCATGTTGGACCGTTGTAGCAGGACAGTTTACGAGGTCATGCCGGA